TGGTTTATTTATTATCCATTTCAAAATATCTTGCTTATCATATTCAGTAGGAATATTCGGGATTAGCTCAGTGTAAGATTTTTGGTCGGGTACAAAACCCATTTCTTTGAATATTTGATTTCTTAAATTGTCAGGCAATAGTTCATATGATGGAATAATTTCTTCATAAGATATAATTTCCACAAAGTTACAATCGTATACACCTTTAAACCAAGTATATAAGTCACCAAGAGTTCTCATATCGATTGAAGTCTCAAGTTGTGGTATTCTATCAAGCGGTACATTTTCAAAAATTTCCAAAACTCTTCCTTTGCCATAAAATATTCCTCGTTGAATATAAGACTTTAAATATGATCTACTTTCAGCAGAAACTCTTGACCAATCTCTAATAGTAATAACACCACCAAGTGTGACTTTTGTGGCCACGTAATTACCATAATCATTGAATGTCCTTTTCAGATTCTTTTTAATCTCTGATGAATCTGAAGAATTAAGTGCATTTCTTACATTCTCGATAAATTCATTAGTAGCTCTACATGTATAGTTCACAATTGCAACTGGTACATGGATTCGTACATCATCATCTTTTGAATCCCCTATTTCATTGGGTTGATTCGTGAATAAACTTAACTTATCTAATTCCCACCAAGGGGAACTTTTACTTTTGGGAAGATAGATAGTTGGTGAGTGCATATACACTCTGATTACACTTAGATCTCCGTTATCATATAAAATAGATTTCTTTGCAGGAATAAAATCAAATCCATCAGGATTTCGACCTTTGTTCAATGCCAAATGATTAATGAAGTCGATTTTAAGTTGAATTGCTTTTTGTTCTTTTAATACATAATTATAATCCAATTCACATTCAATATTTATTTGAAATATAGGCATAGGTTTTCGGGAGTCGGATGGGCCTTTGACATTATCCCTGACAAATATATCCGAGAGGGAAATAGTTTTTAATTTCTCGATAATTAAAGCGCAACTGGGTCGATAACCTACAAATAATTATTGCAACTTTTAATCGATGTATATTAATTGCCAATTATTACAAACTAAATAAATAAAATACCCGGATTGCTGTCCCAACATTTCTCATAAAGTTCAATAAATTTAAGTGGTGTCCCTTTTATAGGTGATTCCCGATCTCCATTAATAATTGCTAATCGAACATTATTCCGGTTAAGAAAAGGTTCAGTACCATTACTGGAAATTTCCCACATTAATAAGCCTAAGCTATATATATTTGGTTTTGTTTTATCATTAATATTTAATGAACGCAAAATTTCAGGAGGGTCATATTTAGAAAATGAAGATTCATCAGATGGACAGATTTGAGACACCCCAATATTGGTTAATTTAGGAATCTCCCCATGCATAACGATATTTTTTGGATTCTAAAAAGTTAAACGTCTTTAAATTATAAATATAGCAGATAAACGGTAAACAATTTGAAAAACCTTTATTACCAGATCTGAGTGAACAACACCTTGATCATGAAGGAATTTCAAACCATAAACAATTTGACTTGTTAATGTTAGTTTCTTATCCCATTTTAGAGGTGCACCCTTTGAAAACATTTCATTAAGATATACACGCAGATTTAGGGCTGCGTATTCACCGACAAAGAAATAACTAGTTCCATCTATTGTACAGACAAAAATATTTAGAGATTAATACTTTTGTTATTTTACTTAATATTTCAAAGTAGCTCTGAACCACGTAAACTATTGTTACGACAAAATTAATTATACTGAAAACCAATTGCGGATATTTGATCAAAAGACAAAAGAAAATATAAAAATTGCTATGGAACTTTGTTAAAGACAATTTCTAAACAATTACATCGACAGAATGAAGATTTAAAGATAAATTTTCCAGTATTAGGCCAGCATCAGCAAAACCACTTTACGACATGGTAATGATATGCATGCATTATGTGATTTATTAATAATTAAATTGACATTCACCATACGTTAGGCCATAAACTTTTAGTATGTTATCGTGTACAAATTGTTTTAACTAAATCAATAAGTGTTAGTCGGTTTGTTTAGGAAGACATTTAAAAAAATATATATACCTCGACATTCAAACTTCCTACAGCCTTATCATCATATCCATCTAAATTTCTCAATAAACTTAAATTTACAAGCTTATTATTCAATAACTTAACAGTTGGCATTTGCTTATCTTCAGTATCAGCAAGTTCATCATATTCTATCAATTTGATCTTTTTTTCACGAACTAATTTTTCTACGTACTGATATATTTTCCTATGAGGCATACTGATATTAACCGATGTAAGATAATAGACAATGGCAAAATTAAATCCAAGAAGATATAATAGCCAATTATATTAACCATAATGTTGCATAATGTCGTGTATTGTAAAACATTACACGTATGTTTTTGTTTATATCATATGATTATTTTTAAAAAAACATTCTAACTAGAAGGGTACACCGGAATGAAAACAAATGATACCTTTGTTATGCTTAGCTAATAAATTGGATGACAAATTATCCAAGAAAAGATAAACTAAAAATT